AAAACAATAAAAAAAAAGAGTTATCTTCTGTTTTGCCAGTTTCTGCCCTTTTCAGTGAGGGCACGTCACAGCGCTGGCGGTGCCTGACGTTTCCCCGCTTGCACTTGCTACCTGTAGGCTAGCTGTTAGGAGCGAGTTAGGTAAGGGCCTGGCACGCTCTGGTTTGGTGAACGGCTAAGTCCCTGACGCTGTCACGGCACCGGTCCTCGGTCGCACCCGTGGCTTAAAAGTGACTTCAGGGAAAGTTGTGGGTTTTGGCTAAACTGCAGAGGCGGGGGCGTGTGGGATTTCAGCTCCGTAATTATTTAGATGCAGGATGGGATAAGGCGTGGCCGACCGAGAGCAGACACCGTCCGTGACCTGATCAATGAAGGAGAGCACTCTTCCAGCAGAATACGTTGCAATATCTGCAACAGGGTCTTTCCGCGGGAGAAATCGCTGCAGGCTCACAAACGAACTCATACCGGTGAGTACGGGGAAGGTGCAAGTGGCGCTCCGTAATTATTTAGATGCAGGATGGGATAAGGCGTGGCCGACCGAGAGCAGACACCGTCCGTGACCTGATCAATGAAGGAGAGCACTCTTCCAGCAGAATACGTTGCAATATCTGCAACAGGGTCTTTCCGCGGGAGAAATCGCTGCAGGCTCACAAACGAACTCATACCGGTGAGTACGGGGAAGGTGCAAGTGGCTGGCGTGAGCGGCTTAGGAAGCAGCAAGGAAGGAATAAGAAAAAAAATTCCACAAACCAACCACAAAAAAACCACAACAAACTCGACCTGTTAATAGTTTATTGTAACTGTTATATTAATCATGCTTTTCTTTCAATGCTTGTTAGTACAATCAAAGTCTTTGTAACTGTGTTTGTCATCGGAAAGTGTAGCAGCAACTTGGTCTATAACAGTATAGGCAAATTGTGTAAATATTTTATCTGCTGCTGTCACAGGCTTGCTTGATAAGAAGAACTTCTCTTGAGCTTAGTGCTCTGTATGTGCTAGCACTTTTTATTCTGACTGCCTGTTTGTGATTTGTTTCCTTCTCGTTGGTGTGTTTTTCAAACAGCAATTGAAGTTTAGCTGTAAGAAGAACCAGTAACTGAAAAAGTGGCAGGTAACTTGGGCAGTGTAACACCCTAGAAGTCTAGATTAAATGCTGAGAAAACAGTACAAATGCTTAAAATCACCATCCAGTTGTCTCTCCCACCACGTAGAAGTCATTTTGTGGGGTGGAGGTGGTCACACTAATTTACTGAACCGTGTACGGAAGGCAACTCACAGTTAAGTTAAAATGTAGGATCAACTCGGTCAATACACAGCTGAACCTAAACTGGACAGGAGATGCTGATTTTTTCAAACCAAGCAAATACCTTTTTTTTCTTCATGTTCCAACAGGAGTCCATATATGCAATAAAGCGTGAACTAGTGTGGCTCACAATATGGACACAACAACTGCCAACACTTCCCACAAACAAACAAAACCCCAGAAAAACCTTGGCTCCCATGGTCTCTTTTTCTGACTCAAATCACTAAAACTAATCTAGATACTAATATTAAACAGCAGTTTCCTCATGCTCTTTGGTCAAAAGATGTTTTTATTTCACTTGGTTTTATTAGGTGTTGAACTTGTATGAACTACTTAACTGAGCAGAGCTTACCCTGGTGTTACTCCTCTGACTCAGTAAGTCAGCGTCACCCTCATTTTGTTGTCCTTCCTGAGGAGCAGTGGCATGACGTGCCTTTGCATAGTTGCACGCAGCCAGATCCTGTTGAGGGAGGAGACACCTGCTATCTCTGTTCTTCTCATTGCAGTTTGCATGGGGAGGTCTTTCTTGATGACTGGGCTAAGAAAACTTTCTTGGCTTAAGTCTGGAATAAGTTTCTCTTACGACCTCCATTTACGCATTACAACTTCTCTCAAATAGGCTTCCCTACTGAGGTATTTCTACAGCATCCTGTGCTACTATACTGTTCACCTCAGTTATTTCACCCTAGTTCAGGCTATGTTAAGGATAAAATTTAACTGGTTACAACCAGAATTACGTTACTTGTCTGTCTGCTCATTTTGCTTCATATATTTCTTTATAGGTGCATAGTTTCATGGGACAAAGCGTATGTACTACTGTGTAAGAGGCTTAAATCAGAAAATACAGCAAGGAAAAATACAATTTATTTATTTATTTTTCCCCTCTGGAAATAATCGTATTATCCAGTAGCATTGAGCATGTACTTCAAAGTAAAGATCTGTTTGGGGTAAAAGTGGATCTCTGCTATTTAGTACACCAGGGCTTTTTAAGTAGGTGCCAGTGTCTGAGTGGGTAAAAGGAGAACTTGCTTGTGTAAGTCTCAGGCCAGGGACCATACTCTTCTTTTATGTTCAGCTTTCATAAATCTGTTCTGTCATTATTTTAAAGGTGAAAGGCCTTATTTATGTGACTACCCAGATTGCGGGAAAGCCTTTGTTCAGAGTGGGCAGCTCAAAACTCACCAGCGTCTCCACACAGGGGAGAAACCTTTCGTCTGCTCGGAGAATGGTGAGCCATCAGAGAACAATTTGCAGCTTTCAGAACTAGGGTCAGTCTAGCACTGGAAATATATGCATGTTCACGTGGCAAAGGTCCATAAAAGCTTTGGATTTTAATCCTGGAGGAGTTTCCAGGGAAGGGAGGAGCCATGCGGAATCTGCATAGTCATGCAAATATGTATCTAAGGATTGCATACGTTATTATATAAGTAGGTTCTCGGTAATTCTGTCAGTTGATACAAATGTATAAAATGATGGGTCATGTTATGAACCTTGCAACTAGAACATGCTATTTTCAACCAAACTTAAGGTTTTCTGAGTGAGGAAGGTTGGATTCAGTAGCATCTTCATCCCACAGACGTTACGCTTACTTGTTGGTTGGCTGCTTTCTGTAACATGTTTTTCTTTGACACTTTGTGTTTTTTAAGGCTGTTTAAGCAGATTCACGCATGCAAACCGTCATTGCCCTAAACATCCATATGCCCGACTGAAGAGGGAAGAGCTCACAGACAGGCTCAGTAAGAAGCAGACGGCTGACAATAAAGCTGTGGCTGAGTGGCTGGCAAAGTAAGTTCCCTCATGGTGTCATCTTTCTCTAGATACTTATAAGGGTGGTCTGAGAAAGCATTTTATTCTTGGGAGGGGGAAAAAAAAACAATAAACCAAAATCGGCTGTTCCTACAGTACAAATCAGCCGGACCTTGCCTTTTCTTAAAAAAGTGCAAACTCCTGGTCAAGACAAAGTTCCTCATGAAACTTTTTTTCTTTTTTTTTTTTTCTTTTTGTTGTTCTCTGCTGAAGTGCTTCTCTTAGCAGCTGTTGATCAAGCAAATACCTTGTTAGTTAGTGCCACAGTCTTGCTGAATTTGCATCTGCATGAGGGGCAACAATTGTGTAAGCCTAGGGGAGAAATGCCTGCTGGGAACGCTGTGCAGAGTAGAAATCTGTCACAGATGTTCACTTGGGCACTTTACACTTAAAATATTGAATAAAGGAGGTTTCTGACAGCTTAAATACTACCATATAAGGGCTGAAAGATAAAGCAAAATGCAGTGCTTAGTTGGATGCAAGGAGGTTTTTGCCAGCTTTGAATTGCTGGTGTGCGAGTCAGTTGTATATATTTTAAAAGCATTCCCCACATGTGATTTTGTAGATACTGGGAGACTAGAGAACAGCGTGCTCCTGCTTTGAAAACTAAAACAATGCAGAAAACGGATCAGGAACAGCAGGACCCAATGGAATACCTTCAATCTGACGAAGAGCATGATGAAGAGAAAAACAGCGCTTACGCTCGCCGCCGCCTCCAGGAACAGCGTGAACGCATGCATGGCGCACTGGCTCTCATTGAGCTTGCAAATCTAGCAGGGGCACCGCTGGGACAGTAGATAGAACAGAGCCTGCCTATACAAAATGTACTTCCTGGTGGTACTTAACCAGTTAGGTCCTGAGCATAAGCTAAGCACCTTATTTGCTTATCATAGGCTGCTATTCTGTAGAATTTATGAAGAATGTTGTTGCTCCGTAACATGGGGTGAGAGAATTGCACTTTTTGTAAGGTTAAAGACAGATGTAAAGTTTCTAAGTATTTTGTAAATATGGGACTGCATAATGCAGGGTTGACAAATTTTATGTTTTGTGGGAAGCTAGATTTTGCAAGGTTAACTCATTTATTTGAAGCAGTTTTCATAGGAAGCACTTTCTGAACAAAGTTTTCACAATTAGCAGAATGGTACATGTGGCCAAAGACGGCTGACAAAAAGGAGAGTATTTATCGTGACTATTTAAACAAGTTTGTATTAAGTGGTAGGTCTGAAGATACTGTTAAGCAGCAATGAAACCATGTTTTTCTAATGTCAGTATATCTTTACCTAGTGTCACTGAGACAGAAGGCAAAACTTAGTTATCTCAGCTTGTAGAGGGCAAGAAACTGCTTCATGCAGGAAACTCTTAAGATCGTTCAGGATCTTCACTGTGACTGCTCAAGGTATGAGGCTTGACTTTGCTGTTTTGTGTTTTCTGATTTGATTTCAGCAGATCTCTTGGTAGCACTTGTTTTTCCTAACATGTGATGTTAGGAACTTTTGCACATTGTTGGGTTTATCTGAAAATGATTAGTCTTGCAAAGTCTAGACAAAGGTAAACAATTGGTAATACTTTTTTTCAGATATTTTTGGACCCTGTAGTGATTTGGCACTTGAATTTGTTAATAAAGGGGGTATTTACAGGGTGGTATGGATCTGTAGTAAACTATTCTAGATCTCCTATTAGCAAACACTAAGTTTTAAAGTATTGCTCTTATATGATTGTTAGCAAATAGAAGCCTCTGTACTTTTTGTGCATAAAGCCACCTTATTGCTTTACTTCAGGATAACATGCCAATTTTGTGTTCACTAACTGTAGCACAGCTATCAATTAAACACTGCAGAAAAGTATTCACTATACAACTAGAAAATAGGCTTCCAAGGATAGTTACAGGTGTGTTAACAGTGTGATTTCATGTATTTCCCAAATAAATGAAGTTACAGAACGCTGCCTAGTACTCAGATTCTGATGTAAAATGTTTAGCAGGATATCTTGTCACTTTGTGAATGGTGTGTACTTTCGAATAGGATTGTCTCATGGTGATCTTTTTCCGTATTTTGCTTTGAAGGCAACAAGAGATTCCTAATATGCTAATGAAAATTATTTTTCAGATTTGACTTTTTGTTGTGTGGTTGTGTGGCTTGGATGGTTTGTGTGGTGGGGTTTTTGTTTGGTTTTTTTGTTTGTTTGTTTGGGTTTTTTTGTTTTGTTAAGCTACTGCTTTAGGGGATATTAATAATTTGTATCTACTGACCTGCTTGCTTTAACTCCTTCCTCTCATTGAAGGTCAGGAAATTCAGATTAAAAGGGAAGCCACTTTCCCTCTCGCTTAAACAAGAGGAAGAAATCATTTAATCACTCCCTTGATATAGACTGACCAGATGCATACAACTGTTCCAGAAAAGTAGTGTGATTTTACACCAGAAATTGCAACTGTTGGATTAGGTTCTCTTGATAGTTGGTAACCTGTTGTGGTTGAAAATCTCATAAACTAACTGGATTAATAACCCAGGTTGCTTAAATAATCTGTTGATGCACTTAAGTAAAGAGTAATTGAATAATTTTAAAAAAAAAATCACTTTCATTGAATGTAAATAATTTTGCACCAGTGATACGGTTTAACTTCTGCTTTCAGCTCCTAAACTTAGCTGACATCAGGTTCATTTGTTTCTGGTTTAAGTCTTTTAGGCTTAAAAATACGAAACATTTTAGTCCTTCTAGGCTTCTTAGCCTGCATAAAACTGGTAATTGTGTCAGTTTGGAGTTTCTCTAATTTACGTGCTTTTGACTGTTCAGTTGGCTGCATGGAAATAGTCTGATCCCAAAATGAGCCCTGAGCATTAATCAGTTGTACTTCTGAATCATAACTCAGAATTGCTCGCGAGTAGTATTTCACAAGGCTCAAGGCTGTATAATTACCAGCGAGTTGCAGACTGGAGTCATAACTTAGTTCATTAGGACTGATTCCCCCCCCCGGCCTGCCTGCCTCCAGTCAGTTGTAATGCTTCAGGCAACTCACAGAGTATTTCAAGTATGACAAGTACACTTAACTGTATTTGGCTGTAGACAAAATTCAGACAGCTGAAGCAGTTTTCTGTTGTGATGAGTTTTGGGTAAAATACCAAATAAAAAAGAGATGTGGAAGACTGCTTTTTGTTTTATTGAGAAGTGATTACATACAAGAAATCTTCAGGTGTTCAGTGCTTTGAAAGATTATGTTGTAGTTCGGCATGACTTAACAGCAGAAGAGTGGATGTGCTGTCAGTTTAATAGACGTCTTGAATAAAAACTTGGTTTAATTTTCAAGTCTAGTGTGTGCTGTTTGGTAATTGTTAAATACTTGAGCTCGTCCATGTTTCTGTAATCCTGTCAGCCTGACTTGTTGCAGGGGATGAAGGTGTGTGTTTTCCCCATCTGTTGAACTTTGACACAAGTTAAACGCCTGAAGCAAATATTGTAGAGCTTTTTTACAGTCTGACCAACTCGTGATAGTTCCTTTGAAGCCAAGTCCGGGCGCAGTGTGCTGC